TTATGGTTGTACGGCAGTGAAGCATCAGTGGCAACACTGATGTTGCTGTCCTTGATGATGATGATGTTCTCCCATTCTACCTCGCCTCCCAATCAACCACATTCCGTAGCGCTGTCTGCATACCTACCGAAACAGTTGACTTGTCTAGATAAGCGAACCCAGGCTCACTCCATCTGCTAAGATCCACGGCTCTTCTATCGTATCGCTGTATTGACAATGTTTTACTGGATGAAGTTACACTGCACCTCTTGGAATACATCGTCTCTCTTTCGTTGGTGCTACTGATGCGTTTTTGTATGTGAATGGTTTCTAGTTACCCTCTTAAAATCCTCGTTAGTCACCGCCTATCTGATCTTAGTGCTGTTCCTTCTAGGCTGATATCCTCAGACAAAATACTTTTGGACTCTTAATTACTCCATCACACAGATAGTCTTGCACTCATGATTTGTTTGTTAGAGATGCAAAATCTTTATTACCAATGGTTATGTGTGTTGCTTGTCGCCTGACATATTTGATCCATATTGTTCGTAAAACTTGACTGAGACAGCTGCTACTCTTCTCGTTCTGTGTCGATTTGTTCTTTCATGATCGTTTACATGTTTGCAGAACCATTTTGTTGTGTGCCTTTTTAGACTCGCAGACAATGGCCTTCGTGTCATCGCAATCAGTGCTCAGACGCCCGTGGCGCCAGCTATGGCCCCACGCCCCCCAACAAGACAGCCCACCGAGGGATTGTCCAACACAACAGCATCAAATCAGGACGGTGCGGTACTTCCCTCCAAAACCCTGGGCAATGACGGACTTTTGGACCATCGGATTGTTGCCTATGTGTCTGGTCTGGGCTTCGGATTGATGACTTGCATATTCGAATTATTGCGCATCCTGATTGACGCTTGGGGACCTGGTATAGGCTTCGAAGTATGGGAAGCAAAAACCTTCTACCTGGTAGCAGGTTCGTGAATGTTTTTCTTTTGTTGCTCATTGACAACAGATAGCGCTGTCCAACGCCCGGCTGATCCGCTAATTTGCGCCTTAGCTTATCCGTTAAGGCCAGTAATAGCGATTATCCTCTACTTCCCTATGCCACCGCGTATGTTTCGTGTCAACCGCTGTTCCTCTCGCTGATAAGCTAGTTTTATCAACAGAACTAGTAGGTGCTTTAGAAGTGAAAACATTCAGTGTGGCGATGGGAGCCGGTTCCTGACGGAAAACCCCTCGAGGAGTTGGTCAACGCCACGACATGTCGTGCTCGGGGTTGGATGGCACTAGTCCATGGATATTGATGCAGGCGAACTGTGCTACTAAACAGTTAACAATAGTATGGTAGGGGTGTTCAACGCCTTTATCGAGGGTCTCAAATGATTCACCCTTTCGGACTTACGAGTGGTGCATTACTTGTTCTGAAGGAACATAAGGCCGATATAACTTGTGGTCAAAAGGTCTTATCAACACCGATGTCCTAGGTAGCGCTTGCACTAAAGAATAAATTATCTTCTCACAGGTGTTGATAAACTCGATTCTCTTGTGTGCAATGTTTTATCTAGTTCAAAGTTCTACTGATATATCACTTGAATATACTATGTGCATTTTATCAGCCATCAAACAGCTTAAATCCGCTCTACAAATTTTTCTACTTCACTTATCCAGCTTGAAGGCCTGTGTTAGGAGCAGGTTCTGAATTTGAATGGCTAACCGTTTGTTCCCATTTCATGAACATGTCTACATAGATCGTTTCCTGTGCTTTTCTGTCCAGGCCAAACTACTTTACGCATACCGCAGCTCCCCTGCTTCCAAGTATGATGGTTCACCAAAACCGAACGCTTCTAACATCTCTATCACCAGAGTTTTCTGTGTGCATTAGTACATGTAAGAGACAGAGCACTTTATTTGTATTCTCATCACTTGTGTGCACAACATATGTGACATTCTTACGTCTTTGAGGCAGTCTACAGGGTCGATTCCGAGTAAGTCCCAATAGTTTCCGTACACAAAGCCACCCGCCCAGTATCAGTCACTACGACTGTAACAACTAGTAAGCCTCGCGGTTCGATTCCCAAACAGACTGAGGGTCAATAACATTTTCAACGCTTCATGTTAGCGAAGCTTCTGTACCATAAGTCATTTGAAATTGCTTCTACATAACTGGAAGCCAGTTAAGGGACTTTTTTCTCTTCTTTCTCACCCACAGCATTCCAAGTGATGTGCACGTCCTTGATGCACATTTTCTGGTCCGTTATTCTCTTCGCTGCATTTGAACGTCGCGATTATGTTCTTTTGGTCCTGATTTATGCAACACATCTTGCGGTCCCATATCTAGTGAGTACTATTCTCTGTTCTAGGCTGTACAGTCGGTTATGTGCGAATCGGAGCTTGGTAGTTTTACTCGTTGTGCATTGGCTTCAAGACTTCATTCAGGATTTTTTTCATATCTGCTTATACTCTCTGTAAACTTGCTTATAAATCCTCCCAATAGTTTCCGTACACAAAGCCACCCGCCCAGTATCAGTCACTACGACTGTAACAACTAGTAAGCCTCGCGGTTCGATTCCCAAACAGACTGAGGGTCAATAACATTTTCAACGCTTCATGTTAGCGAAGCTTCTGTACCATAAGTCATTTGAAATTGCTTCTACATAACTGGAAGCCAGTTAAGGGACTTTTTTCTCTTCTTTCTCACCCACAGCATTCCAAGTGATGTGCACGTCCTTGATGCACATTTTCTGGTCCGTTATTCTCTTCGCTGCATTTGAACGTCGCGATTATGTTCTTTTGGTCCTGATTTATGCAACACATCTTGCGGTCCCGTATCTAGTGAGTACTATTCTCTGTTCTAGGCTGTACAGCCGGTTATGTGCGAATCGGAGCTTGGTAGTTTTACTCGTTGTGCATTGGCTTCAAGACTTCATTCAGGATTTTTTTCATATCTGCTTATACTCTCTGTAAACTTGCATTATAAATCCAGTAAACAGACGTGTCGTAAACCACAAGTAAGCTAAAGTGTAAGTTTTGTGCGGAGGGGTGTTCTTACCAGGGCATCCAAACTACAAAGATAGGGTTGCAGTTTAATTCCACTTCTTGATGTCATATCACATATACTCTGACTTTTCATTTCAAAATCCATCTTATCCACCTGTATTGCAACTACACATTTTGATTATCTCATGCGCTTCAGGTAAAGTTTGCGACGTTAAGGACACAATCAGCAATGCGCATCTCACGGCTGTCTGTCGGAGTAGCGCACCATTTGTGAGGCAGCAGCCCTATCTACTGAAATGATAGTGATTTTTGTGGATGGTAAATGGGGATATTTGGATTGCGTTAGTAGTTTCGCCGTAGGATAAAGTTTGTTCCTGTCTATTAATTTGGGCTCATATCACCAATCAAGGCTCTTCCTGACGACGTGAAGCCTTGAGTGGTCTTTATCAGAGGAGGGTACTATTAGTCGCTGCAACTCCAGACCGGACCCATGGCAGTCACCAGACAATTTGCGAGGTATGTCGCCCACCGATGGTTTTCGTGAATCCACTCCCAAATGTTTGGTTGAAATGCGGAAATATGACTCGTAAAAAGCCCGAAATTAGGGTACCAATTCCGGACGGTCCCCATTCAGCCTTTTTTGAAGAAGGCAGATAATTAAGGGAATTAAGGTACTATTGCTATATGGATTGAAGAAGTGTTTGCGAAATGGATGATTCTAACGATCGTCCCAAGCATTCACGAACACAGAGTGAAAGTCATTGTGGCATTCGAGGTGTCCTCTGGTCTTCCCTCGATTCTGAAACATCGAAACTGCTTCCAGAAATCAGCAAGCGTAACCTTACTCAACGTCAAAACTGTCGTTGATTCTGTCAGCAGTCCAACACGATGGCAGTCTGCGGAACAAAGATGTCCTCTGTCCCTCACGAAGAGCTTGAACCTTACCGTGGTGTGACGGTTTGTGTACTTCCGCGACCCATTGAGCTATACTGCGGGGGAGGAGAGTCAGCGACACTCGCAGAGTCTCATACCAGCTTGGCCAATGGATAGAGGTGTGACCAACACAGTCTACCAGTCCTCAAGGTTGGTGGCTGGAACATGTGGCTACTTGTTCTGTAAAAATTGAAATGTACCCACATTTCCCGCCAAACACTGTTACCTTGTGGCCATGCTTTGGTTTAGAACCCTAACCGGCCTGTTGTCTAAGTGTAGGCGCCCTGACAGAATCCCAGCCCACACGTAACCATGACAGTTACAAGTAACGGTACTCTCATGCCACACCGGCAGTCGCGTAGTGCCATCAGCCGGGTCGCCTTACTTGTACGCAGGAAATCGAAAACATGCATGTGAAGTTTTTTGTATTCTCGGACTTCCGGGCGTGTGAAAAAACACACAGATCTTTCCAAAAGCTTCCGTACATAAAGCAGTGTCCGTCAGTTTTGCCCACTCTCTCCATCCCTATCTAATTTCGTGATCAATGAGATAAGGAGACGAACGCTGGAAGGTCTTCAAAACCCCGGTTTTCAAACAGCTTGTGACGAAAATCTTGTCGGTTTAGAATATGCAGACGATATCGTTTTGCTCTTTGAAGAGAAGACGCATGTTTTTGAATGAACTGATCGAAGTCATCCCGTCCTTTGCTATGTACTTTGCACCCACAAAGTGTAAGATCATGCTCGTGGACGTACAGTCACTGAACACGCCACTTACAATCCAGGGAGAGGTACTGGAAGTTGTATTCGTTCTGATTGTAGTGTGACAGATGAAGTGAATGCACGAATCTGCAAGGCCCGGGTCTTGTTTGCTAATTTGAGACACCTATGGCGTCAAAGTAGTATATGTCTGAATCTCAAGGAACGTGTCATGTTCATCGTCATCTGTAAGAACCGCGTACTTGTCGTATAGTGGTTGCAGCCGTCACAGTTTGGTTCACCGATGATTTGGGAGGTGGGGTAGATAGCTGGGCATTAGAGGCGGGAGCTGATAAATTGGTGCATAAATACGGTACTGTCAAGCGGGGGCGTTGGGACGTGTGTATCAGGCTACGGTGCGTGCTGTTTTGTTGTACGGCTATGAGACGTGGCCTTTTCGAGCAGCGGAACTGAAACGTCTTCAGTCGTTTTCTCAAGACCATAGCTTGTGTGGGTTGGTGTCTAAGAATCCGCAACAAGACAACTGGAAAGCGAGTTTTCGGTTGTGCACCGGGTACTTACATTGAAGAGTGTGTCCAGCACCAGAAGCTGCGTTGTTTAGACCATGTATCCCGCACGCCGGACCATCGTTGGCCGCAGGGAGTGCTGTTTTCCGTACCCACTTCAGAGTTGTCGCGGCAGGGAGACGGCCAACCCTTGACCTGGTAAAGGAGTATGAAAGAGATTACGAAACGTTGGGGTGCTGTCGGTGCTACTCGCCTACCGGGACGGGCAATGCGTGATCCCCAATGCGCATGGTTGGGAAAGGTGCGAGATTTGGCTGCTAGTCGATGTCAGTGGCGTTCGTGTTGTCAGTTTCTATCCAGATTGCCTGAATCGGTGTCTGGATGTGTAGGCACCTCTGAGTGATTGTATAGGTTGGCATTAAGTTCCTTCCCCGTCCACTTTGATTCTTTTCTTCACAGTAGGACTTTCAAATAAATCATGGTTGTACGGCAGCGAAGCATCAGTGTTGGACATTGATGTGACGCTGTCGATGATGTTTCATGTAAATTTTCGACCTTCCTTAAGGCGACAACCACCGTGGACGTGCGAATCCCTCGTGTGGGTTTACTATTTCAAGTGGTGTCAGATAGGGCTGTCTGTCGCTTTTTCTCCTCATGTTTGTCATGGTCGTAATTGGTGGACTCTAGGCTCGGAAGCTGGTGGGGTCAACATGCTACTGGGGCTTTTGCTCACAGATATCTTAAGTCCGATTCAGTCGAAGTGCAAGCAATGCCCTAGATAATTCCGCGAATATGGTTTGTTAAGCGATATCGTAAGACTGAATTAGGTCAAACCCGAAACTCGTGCTTTCGAGTGAAGTGATCCAGGTTTACATGTAAATTTACATACGTGCAACTGTCTAGGGGTGGACGGTAGTTCCATCCCGATGTGAGAAGCCGGAGCGGCTTTTACCAGACTGCAATATGTGTCGTAGGTATGTCATCACCTGAACATACAACGCTGTAGTGCGTTCAATTTTAAGTAGTTCAAAAATTCATCGATACCCTCGGAGTGTTTTCCGAGTCTGTTACGAACATCAGAGCATTACTATCCACTGAGTGGCTTTCAAAGCAAATAACTTATCCATGATTGATGTGTGGATGACACTCCAAAGATTATGTGGGTTTGGTGATGTGCTTCATCACCATCAGAGGCAGCAGCATCCGTGTTGACATTACCGTACAACCACAAAGTTTGTTATAGAGGAAAATGTTGGTGGGTCAGGTAGAATATATGGTCGTTGGTTTGTTCGCTGAGCTGGGCAATTTTATCGTAAACATTTGATCACCAGTCGAGCTGACATCATCAGTACGTTGTTAGGGAGCGTGGTGGAGCGTAGCACAACCAGCAACTCATCGCTATGCTCCACAACGCCCCCTAACAACGCACTGATGATGAAATGTTTGCAATCAAATTGCCCAACTCAGCGAACAAACCAACGACCAACCACAAAGTTTATTTCATCATATTCAGTGACTTAAAGGGAAAAGGGGAGAAAAGAATGGGTGATGGAGGGGCATGATGCATCATTATCATCAGACGCCAGCATCAGTGTTGACATTGATGCTAGTCTACCGCAAGCACCCCGAGGTGCGCACTCTTCCAATCGTTCAATCAGACAACCTAAAAAGAAACCGACAGCACGATCGCCACTGACGTCGAGTAGCTGCATTTCTGCACACTTGCAGGTGAATCGCGGGGATCTTATCCTGAAAGACAGACCATGTTATTTGGACTCGTAGTCTCACTCTCCTGGCTGGTCACTAGTTATCCGACTCGCATTCTGCACCACACTAAGGAGAGTACAGAGTACAGCACCGCACCCTTGGAAGCAAGATTCTGGGTTTTCTATACACACGGCGTTGCTCTAACAGCTGGTGGGGCGTGAAGATATGGTCGACGCAGTTACTATCTGGTTGAAATCCCGCCTGACGCTCGTAGCCTGGATTTCGCGTGCCATCGTAAGCCAACCAAGAGTAAGTCACGCTAGGAGCCGTGTCGCAACAGGAGTCGAACCGAAGCCCCTGTAATTGCTGCATTCGCTGAGGATGGGCACTTATCGAACCACTCCAGTTGTCCGGAATGGTCTCTCCCAGATGGAGACAGATAGGCTTGGCAGGCACTGGCTGAGGAATTCACTGCCTTCCCAAATAAAGCAAGTTGAAGGTTCAAAAATATCGTCCAGCTGTAGCACCATTTCGGCGCATAGCTGCCATGCCACACGAAGGAGGCACGAGGGCTGGGATACTGCCAGGTCGCCCAAGCTTTGACAGGGGAAGTGGAGGGGCGGAGGTCGGGTTCGAACCACGGACCTTCGGGTCAGTAAACTCGCGCTCTAACCACTTGGTCCATCTCGCCCCAACGGTCCAAAAGTTCTCTGCTTTGTATCGGAGAACCGTTTTGATCCTCAATGATTTAGCTGACAACAGGCTGTCGCGAAACAGCAACAAAAATCTACAACAGACATTGTTCGTTGTCCGCGCATCTTGTATCCAACTAATCGGGCTTCAGCTGCGCTGAGTCTACCCACCTGAGCGTTCGTGTCAACGGCAACTACGGTGTTATCATATACAATAAACAGCGGTGATTGGTAAGAGTAGTCTGCCTTTCTAAGGATAAAATCGCCACACGTTCCAATCTAACCTGGAGAATCAGAACCCTATGTTCGTCAGAATTCTATGCACTGAGCAACCTGGTATGAGAAACTTTGTGGATGTCAGAATAAACCCTCCTCTGCCATTATAGCTCAGTAGATAATAATGGTACGCAAACCAGTATACCGCGGCAAGGTCCAGGCTGTTTGCTCCGTGTGCCAGTGAATCGACCCTCAGTAACAGTCTTGTCCGCATGATAATGCGGAGAATGTAAAAATGCCAGAGAAAGTCAAGCTGACGAAGTAAAAGTTGGTCACCGCAGTTTCTCTGGATGCTGACCTGAAGACGGGATACATTAAAAGCCAAAGGCGCTGGTGGATACAATCCACTGACGTGCAAGCACGTAAGCTGTCCAAGACAACTTACTATTCCGTTCCTTCCACTCACGAGAACTCTGCCGTCAACTTCAGATATACATCTGTCGGCGATACCGGTTGCTGCCTTCAACGTCTACCGATCTCTGTCATTCGAAACCGAAACTGACAGCTAGAGGGGCATGTACACGATTTACGGCCTGTGATGTCCACAAATATGCGAACACATTCATTGGGTGCATCCTGGTCGTTAAATTTTTCGAAGTTGTTAACATTATTGAACTCCTTACTTAAGTGTAACGCTCTAAACCCTCATGCATTTTCCCCACCACCAATATTCTCTTTCAGTCGTTCCTAAACCGACTGCACCCACCCTGGCCCGAACTTGTCTGTCTATTCTACGTGATCGTTCTAGTCGGCTTGGCTATTCTTACCCGATGTGTAGTAACTGGAAAGCGCTTCACCTGCTGTGGTGTGCAACCACCGCAAGCGATTACCACAGATGAAACCTGATCCGCCCACCGCCGTTTCTTCCAGAACTCCACATTACTTGCCATTCTCATAATTTTTGTACTTCACTTGGCTATCTATAATAACTTTTGCTCCCTATTTGTCATTCGGTTTTCTTTCGGTTCACTATTCGAATGACGGATAGGATTGGGTAATTGCATGGGTGCGAGAGCGATGCGACCGTGTTGTTGCTATTTATTGCATCTAGACAGCGGGGTAGTTCGTGCCGTCGTTCGTCTACAGGTTGCGCAATCCTGTTGGGATCAAATCAGTCATTGGTGTTTGTGCGTCTTGGCGACGAATGAAACTATGGTAGCTACGATCACCGTACAGTATGTACGAGGTTTTTACGGATGAGGTTGATGATGTTCTTTGCAGTGATGATGAAACGATGAAATAAACTGATAGTTCGCAGCAATCAAGCCTAGCGGTGCACTGGCGTCGCCGATAAAAACAATCCACTGTGATCAGTCGCACAGCTTGATGGACTTCGTGGCTGAATGAAGCGTCACAGACGTTTCGCATCCATATCTCAGATACAAAATATAGACTGTCAGCACGGATGTAGTATGTGTGTGAGCCGAAATCAAGAGAATAGCAAAAGTTAGTAGTTGTCGACCTACAGGTGATCCAACACATTCACCTTAACAAGACTAATGATAAAGTGTAGTAGTACGTGGGGACCTCAGGATGAAGTGGGAGGACAATTCGTCCGCCCCTGTCATGCAAATCGTAGGTGAAACCTTGGGGCGTCCTTTATTCGTTATGGATATTTGATGAGAACAAATGGAACATTCATAATGAAGTGTATATTTTGGTTGGTTGACTTAAACAAGTGACTCTGAAGAGAAAAATAATCTCGGAACGTTAATTGAAAGAGGGTGTTAGTGCGTCGTGTCACAGTTGAGTGTCAAAGATGCTGCTTCTGATGTGCCAGTTGAACCAAGCTTTCCGAGTATGGTAATTCTTCAACTCGGCAAACGGGACAGGGTAGCTGGAATAAGAAAGATGAGAACAGACATGCCAAACAAGCTGACAGGAAAACCAAACCAAATAAACTGTTTTAAATAAAGTTATTTGATGCAATGACAAACAGGTACTTGTTTTGGCCGATATTGGAGAGACAACGTGGTTCATTTTGTCCGTCTGTATCAAAAATTTTCTGACAATATTGAAAACAATTATGGGTTCTAAAAGTGTTCTACTGGTATTTTTTGTTGAATCCGTGCGACATTTGATGAGATCAGCCAGTCGACCACGACCTTCAAGCCAGGTCAAATTAGAAATGAGCTCGTGCTGTCGGTTCCGATCCGATTAGTTGAGATTTTATGACTTCACAGAGGCACACGCGAACGTTGTGTGCCATATGGACTACACAAGTCTTTACTGGTAATCTCATTGTTACCCTTCAATTAGTCAACTGGCCTGAGCCTAATTGTGATTACCAGTCGATAGAAAAAGCTCTGATAGCGATCTTACACTATCCGGAGAAATGCGCTTCGGGGTGCTCGGCCAACCAATTCCCATGACCCTTGTGACGGCACGGACACATTTAGTTTTCACTGTCATCACCATATGGTGCATACATCAAGAAATTAGTGTGGCCTAGCTAACGACCTGCAAGTGTCCGGTCCAGTGAACACAAACAGCTCGATGCACCTTGCCAGTTACAATCCACGATTATCTCGTATCATCAGAGAACAACACGCACTCAGAAGCTCAACTACCTGACGACCTCTGGAAAATGAGCGCTAAGTAAAGGTGGGAAGCAAAAGGAACAGCGGGGGTTAGCGCGAAAAAGTACTAGGTTCATAACAAAGATAACCAGGAACAACGCACTCCTGAAGAGCATTAAATAAACACATCTTAGCATATACCAGAGTAAGGCGCCATCAGTGGGACTGACCTAGCGTCCTTTGCGAATCTTACCCAACGTAAACTAATCACACCAGGGACAAGCGTCAGCTACGCAAAGCGGCTAGAAGGTGACACCACGCACGCTAATGGACTGGATTACATGTTATTTCATGCAAAGTTTCTCACCACGGACAAGGAATATCGGGAACGCTGTCAAGAAGGCGTAGAGATTCCATTGCGCCTAGCTTTACTAACCGTTTTCCCCCTTTAACGTAACTTGCTGATACTTTGCGATTTTTCCGCCAACGGTAGTTTGGGGTGGGAAAAGATGCCCTGGTAGTAGTTGGGTATGTGTAGCACACACCCGAACAGCTTTCAACCAATCGGTTTGCCTGGCTGCTCTAGCGATTTCGCTTCACTACCAAGTACCGCTTACACAGCCATTCACTGTGTAAGGATTGAAGCCTTGCTGCCTATGAAAGCACTGGTAATCAAAAGATCAGGGGCCTATAAGGTCCTAGGACCGGAGGGACCAAGTTTCGGAGTTGCATTGTATACATGACCCTTTAGCTAGCCCGAAGTAGTTTCTGGCACCATAGGCAACGCTCTTCGGCGAATGTTTCACGTGTCTCCATGATGGGCTCATTGACTTAATGCGCTCGTGGCTTATTCGGCTACAAAGAAATGTAAACCTAGCAATAAACTTGACCTTTATACAGCAGCGAGGGATCAGTGTTGAGCACTGATGTCATGCTGTCGGTGATGATCATCATCACTCTAGAGCTTCAGAGGGGCACAAGTGACGCAATACCGTACTTTGGAGGTGCAGAAGGCATGCCATTCACAAGGCAGCCATTCACCAACGAACTAAACGATACCCAAGTAATTTTTGCCCATTACTGTTTCTCCAGACGTGGTCTTCATAACCAAGCTGGTTTACTCCTTAAAGTGTGCACCCTATAGTAACGTCTATGGCAAAACTGAACAGAGAGAAAGAAGAGGTAACCTGGCGAACTCTGCTGGTTCTGGGGAGATTTTAGATGATTTTAAACCGTAACCTGGCAGGAGGTATGAAGGCGAGAAGAACGTCCACAAACATTTGAACGTAGAACAGTTACCAGTACTGGTGGTAACGCCAGCAAAGAACACAGGTGCTTTACTTCCGATGTATATTCGAATGAGAATACCAGTGGTAAGACGGGAAGGGCTAGCGGCAGGTAATCTAGCCTGGAGGAAGACCATCTCGCCCGGAAGCTTGTTGGCGCTTCGAAGCACAAAGCCATATTGATATTAACGAGTTGGTCGACAAGAGCTTATGTGCAGGGGCAGGAGGCCAGCTAAACTATTGTTATGAGTATTCTGCCCATCGATCATCGTAATAATCGGTTTCACGATCTTAAACGGGTGCATCCTATGGGGGACCACAACATGTTTGTAGACCCTGCAAATCAAACTGAAGTCCGGTATTCAACAATAGGTAGTTGCATTTGCTCCCCCCATCCCACTTATTAACAGAAAACCTTAGTCTACCCAAATTGCTGTTCGGAAGTCTAGTCCCTAAGGGGAGGTTAATCCAACTACACAACTATGCCATGTCCAAGTCCTGTGAATTTATCGAATTCATTCAGGAAGTTTGTATTCTTGTACCAACTCCATGGGTATATACGGCACACTCTATCACCTATGAGGAAAATCCCAGATGTCATGAATGAACTAGGAATTCAAATTAGACCGAGACTAGTGTTAACTGCACTTAAAGGTAGAAGCATATACTCCTATGAATACATATCTATGGTATCTATGAAAGCGTTCAGCTGTAGCACCCTTTCGGTGCCTAGCTGCCATGCCACCCGAAGGAAGCACGAGGGCTTGGATACTGCCAGGTTGCCCAAGCCTAGACAGGGCTATGGTATCTATATAGCAGAGCCACGCTATATTTCCGATAAGAAATTAGAAATATGAAGTTAATACTCAGATGACAATCATGAGAGATTGAATGCATACCGGATACTATTGCACCACTAAGCCAAGTGGTCCTAGCATTAACTTTTCACTAGTTTGAAATGCGACCCAAAAATAGTCCACACGATTTTCAAAACGAATCAGATGCAACTCACCCTAAGTGGCACCAATATACAATAAGGATCTTTTTCTAGGAGTTCCGCCAACTCCTCTTGATGTTCCTTTTCCCGATGGTGCATATACTCGCCGATGCAAGTATTATGGAAATAGTGAAACTCAGGTGTGCAGTAAACGTCTGATTCTTGCACAAATCCACACAGACAGATGGCACAATTCACCGTGGGAACGTTGTTCGCAATAAACTCGCGACTAAACTAAAAAAAGAAAACAACACGACGGAATATCAGGTGGACAGCAGTCACTGCAGACTATTGTGATCATTATATAAACGACCTTGTCCAAGCCCATGATGGAGTGTGAAGAGGTGGTCTAAGCAACCCCTATGAGGCTGCAGTCCCGTTTGCTGATCTCGATTCAATCTTTCACGGACCAAGGGTCAGCCAGTAACATGGTACAAAGATGTGACGGTCTGAACTTACTGCGAATCGACATCCGACGATGAGGTATTTGGAAGAGAACCCAGTTGGTTCTAATAGAGTCGCTTAACTCCGAGATCTCCCAGCTTCTCAGTTGCTAAGAGAGTTGTCCGCCTCTTGCGCAGCTCTGAAAAGCAATAAGGGGAGTGACTGAGCGCACTGTCAGAATCTTCGCGAATGTTCCATAAGGAATGACAGTCAGTTATTGGTCAACGCCATTGGTAAGTGATGGGACTGTGATCAGTTTTAGTCTGTGGTTGGTACGCATGCAGCCAGACGATTTTCATCAGTTCGGGGGTAGTCTGTGGTCAGCATACAGTTGAAGTGGTCCTTCGTCGTTGTCCGTATGTATCGAGTCCAATCCAAGTCGGCCACCCAATTGAATCTCAGACATGCTGAGTCTGACAACTGTTCATTCGAAGTATGGGTGGTCACAACGACATCTGAGCGCCACCGCAGCAAGGTACTCAAGACGCCATAGAAGTTTTTTCTGATGCTGCCAGAGCTACGGTCAGTTCGGAGTACGACAAACAAAATTCAACTTCTGACTTACTACATTACTGAGCAAACTACAACGAGGCGTATATCAACGGATATCCCGTCAGCGTGGATCCTTCAGCCCCGTGACTTGGAACGAGACTGGTACCTTCGAGGCTTCTGGATCACCAGATGTGAACGGTTGGAAGCGTGGAGAGTGAAAGGGTTCAAGGATTGTACTTCGGTATTGAGGTCTTGTTTCCGGTACACACCATGTATCAATTTCAAGTGAGTCCCGTGTTCGAGCTATAGCAGTCCGTTGTCTCTCTTGCTTAAGTTCGAACATTAAAAACAGCCAATTAAACCGGCTGACATGTAGATATCGCGGCTGAAGGAGTGATGCAGGATGGATGAGGTCGTCACTCCTAATGGATGAACCTGAAAGCAGAGTATCACTGATGAGTTCATCAACATGATCGACAGCATAACATCAGTGTACAACACCGAAGCTTCACTCCCATACGACCACGATTTATTTGAAAGCCTTGTTGTAATGAAAAGAGTGAATGTGGACGGGGAAGGGACTTAGTGCTAGCTTAACACAATCATTACGAGGTGCCTACACCTCCAGACATTCACTCAGGCAATCTGGATAGAAACTGACAACAGGAACGCCACTGACATCGGTTGGCAGCCATATCTTGTAGTGTCTCCAACCAGGCACAGTGAGGATCACGCGGTTCCCATCCTGGAAGGCGAGTAGCACGGACAGCACCCAAGCGTTTCATAATTTCCTTCATACTCCTCTGCCGAGTCAAGGGTTGGCCACCTCTCTGCTTACGCCACTCCGAATTGGGCATGGAAAACAGCACTCTTCGGCAAACAATGGTTCGGCATATGCAACACATGTCCCAACCAACGCAGCTTCCGGTGCTGGACACATTCTTCAATGGAAGTACTCATTGCACAACCGAAGACGCGCTTTCTAATTGTCTCATTACTGACCCGCCAACACTAACCCACAGGAGCTATAGTTCTGAGACAACTGCTGTTGAACGCCTGAAGACGTCTCAGTTCCGCTGCTCGAATAGGCCAAGTCTCGCAGCCATACAACAAAACAGCCAATACTGTAGCTTGATACACACGCCCCTTCAGATTCAGGGATAAACCACTCTGACAGCATAGGTATCTCAAATTAGCGAACGCGACCCGGGCCTTGCAGATTCGTGCTCTCACCTCATCTGTCACACTGCAATCAGAACGAATACAACTTCTAAGATGAGCAAAAACGCTCCACAACTTCCATTACCTCTCCCTGAATTGTAAGTGGTGTGTTCATTTGCTGCACGTCCACGAGCATGACTTTACCATTTGTGGGTGAAAAGTGTATACCAAAGGACGGGATGACTTTGGTCAGTTCATCCAAGAACACCTGCGCCTCTCCTCCTCTTTGAAGACGAGGACGATGTCGTCTGCGTACTTCAGATCGGCAAGGGTTTCTTCACAGGCTATTTGACCACCACGACTTCGGAGACCTGACAGCATTCGTGTCATTACCTCAGAGATCACGAAATGAAATAAGAATGGAGAGATTGAGCACACCTGACGGACATCGCACCGTGTGCGAAGGCTTTTGGAGAGCACGTCACATACTCCCGCACGTCCAGAAGTATGAGAATACAAAAAGCGTATCATGTTCACGAACTTCTGGGACATTCCTTGGTTGGAAAGCGTGTCAAGGAGGACAGACTGGTCAACCCAGTTGATTGCACCTTGGAAATCTAGAAATACTAAAATTGTGGGTCGTTTGCACGTACGACGTTGTTCTAGTACCTGACGGAGTGTGAAGATTTAGTCAACACACCCCCTACCAGGCCGGAATCCCGCTTGCTGCTCTCGAGTCAGTATCTCATGAGCCACCGTAAGGCGACGAAGCACAATTGCCGCCAGCAGTCTCATTACGACCGGGATCGAGCTGATCCCCCTGTG